AATTCTCGTCCAACTTAGGTGGAATTTCAGAGATGACCACAACAATCTAAGTTGCTTTCTCCTTACATGTACAAACCACGGTTTATTTAGGATTACTGACAAGAAGACTCCAGATTTCCGGGAATTTTTTCACTGACGAAAGAAGATCGGCCACTTTTAAATGACAAGGTAGTGTCCAGTTCAACTTTGGTGCATTAGTTTTCACCACTATGACGACAAAATACAAGACATGGAAAGTATACCGAGTACAGCATTTGAAATTATGCCGAAAGGCAGAAGTCGTATATTAAATGCAGTAACATTTCCTATCGCGTGTCCGATTTGAGGTTTAATGCAAAAGAAACAAACTATTTGATTGATGAGAATACGCGCGGACAAACTCAGGATGGGTAATAAGTAATGATCTTTGCGTAAAACTACTTAAAAATGATTCGAGGGGCAATATGGTTTAATCACTTCATTCTGACCCTCTTGGTATCTGATTCCTGCAGTGTTTCAATGGAACTGATTCCATAAAACGGACTTTTGAAATCTAACTCCCTTATCGTGTGCATTAACCGTGATGCCTCACCGTTTAAAGAATGCTGGTAGCTTACTAAAATACGGCAAGCACCTTTGATCTGCCATATAAATGGAAGAATATAGCATAAAGCAATGTGTTAGGGACGTACCAAGTCCAAACATCTTAGCAGTAAGCATTGCGACTTCACGTCCACACGTGCACACGTCCGTTGGAAAACATTCGAATTCGCGCGCACTCACTTAGTTTCGCTGAAGGAAAGCGTTCAGCCAATTCTGTCATTTAAGAGGTACGTAGAAAAAAGAAAATACAGTGATGCATTGAAGTACCCAAAATGTGTTGCTAACGCGGACCCATTTGCTAGAACATTTGAGTTTGAGTACAGTTCATGCTAAATTTACATTGAAGGGTTTAATTACTACTAATAATTTGGGTATTACTTGAGTGAACCTAATTTATTAAGGTTCTCTTTAGTTCTTCTATTGCAGTAATGTTTTACTAAATCTCCACATAGTAAATATAACAATGCTGTATTCTCCACCTACATTTCCCAATGTTTCCCATTACATATCTGCATTACTGCAGCCGCAATCTCACTTTAGCCCAGTTTTTCTACATTTCACTCCCAGTAAAATCATGCTTTTGAACGAGTAACAATCTATCCTGCCCTATTCCGCGTCCATGAACCCGCTTACATGGTTGCATGTCTGTTGGATAAACTGAATCTAGGATTACGTTTTTCCAAGTTTACGATCTTGCAGATCGGTGGGAACTGTTTACTGTTTGGATCAGATTTCAGTTTCTAAATACATCTTGGTTAATCAGCGCCCAAATATGGCTCATTAGCGCAAAACCAAAAGCCGGAAGTGGTAACCTCAATATTTGCAATTTTTTACTAACAGGCATTTTTCTCCAATTATGACCAATACGCTATTTAAAGTCCTGCTTATACGCCTGTAAGATGCGTCATTGGCATTTGCGGCAAGCGTCCGGGATTCATCGTTCCATGCATCTTTATTTGTATTGATGTCACCCAAAATTAAGATCTTTCTGTTTGCTGCAATCATCTACTCCGTGATTTGCGAAGAGCCACAATTATGATGGCAGAATTTTGGTAGTTGGAAAGGAAATGGAAGGACCGCGAACCCAAAGGCGCCAAAAACGATGCAATGATGTCGAGTTGTCCCCGCTAGTTTCATTACTCTGCATTCATCTTTATCGTCCCTGCCCCACCCCAATTGTGGAGTTACGAGTCTTCAGTGAGGTTGCAATAAGCCAGGGCAGTATGGAAGAAAAGACATTGGTAGCGTACCAAAAGGATTGGGGTTTCTACTACCACGGCCTGAGGACCATGT